AGAAAGCCGGAGAAAGGGAAAAGATGCATTTGGTGAAAGGAGGTATAGTTTGCATTTCATTCATTCATTCAGCCGCTAGTTTTTGAGCACTGTGTGCCAGCCACAGGGCTAGGTGCCAGACGAGTTAAAGCAAAGTTACTGGTTTCATGAAACCTACCTTTTGTTGGAAGAGGTAGAAGGTAGACTCCTAAAGAATAGTTGTTCAAATCACAAATTGTGGTAAATGAGATGGAGGAAACAAATGAGGGATTGAGAGAGAGACCCTCAAGGCTGGAGAGAAAAGAGCTTCCTTATTGTGTTATCAGAAAAGTCTTCTGAACAAAATTAATTGCCTTTTCTGGAACAAGGACTATTCTGAAATAAGGAAAAAGAGAATGCTGGGAAATCTCAGTTCCAGGATGGGACATTGGGAAAAAAAAAAAAAAAATTAACAGTGCAGTTGAACAGCCTCCATTCTATTGATACAGAGCATTAAGAGAGGCCGGGTGTGGGTGCTCATGCCTGTAATCCCAACACTTTAGGAGGCTGAGCAGGGAGGATTGCTTGAGGCCAGGAGTCCAAGACCAGCCTGGGCAATGTGGCAAAACCCCCATCTCTACTAAAAAATAAAAATATATAAAAGTGTAGCAAGCCTATATTACCATGAAGTTAAAATGATCAGGCATAAACTAGTTCATAATCTTAGAGATTCCAAGAGTATGAAATAATCAGAAATTTATTTTCTGTAGAGAGGAGTAGACTGGGCACAGTGGCTGACACCTGTAATCCCAGCACGGGGAGGCTGAGGCGGGCAGATCACTTGAGGTCAGGAGTTCGAGACCAGCCTGGCCAACATGGCGAAACCCTGTCTCTACTAAAAATGCAAAACTCTGGCTGGGCATGGTAGCTGATGCCTGTAATACCAGCACTTTGGGAGGCCGAGGCGGGCAGATCACCTGAGGTCGGGAGAATTTTTTTTTTTTTTTTTTTTTTTGAGACAGTCTCACCCTGTTGTCCAGGTTGGAGTGCAGTGGTGCGATCTTGGCTCAGTGCAACCTCCACATCCCGGACTCAAGCAATTCTCCTGCCTCAGCCTCCTGAGTAGCTGGGATTACAGGTGTGTACCACCAGGCCCAGCTAATTTTTTTTTTTTTTTTTTTTTTGAGACAGAGTTTCGCTCTTGTTGCCCAGGCTGGAGTGCAGTGGTGCAATCTCGGCTCATCACAACCTCTGCCTCCCAGGTTCAAGCGATTCTCCTGCCTCACCCTCCCGAGTAGCTGTGATTACAGTCATGTGCCACCATGCCCAGCTAATTTTTTTGTATTTTTAGTAGAGACGGGGTTTCTCCATGTTGGTCAGGCTGGTCTCAAACTCCCGACCTCAGGTGATCTACCCGCCTCAGCCTCCCAAAGTGCTGAGATTACAGGCATGAGCCACCGTGCCTGGCCAAATTTTTTAATTTTGTAGAGACGGAGTCTCGCTTTGTTGCCCAGGGTGGTCTCAAATTCCTGAGCTCAAGCAATTCTCCCACCTTGACCTCCCAAAGTGCTGGGATTATAGGCATGAGCCACCATGCCTGGCCTTGGCTTCTCTTTACTGCTGTTAAATCGAGGTGAAATGTTTTTCAAACTCACCACAGTTATAGAGCTAGATGGGGGTAGAAGCCAGGTTTGCACCTCTGTACTTCTGATTCCAGAGTCTCTGCCCTTTCTATTTGTTTTCTGCCTTGGAGTGCCTCTCACTGGGCTCAGTCCTCTAAGGAGGTTGCAAAGAGAGAAAAAGTTTCTTTCTTTCTTTTTTTTTTTTTTTTTTTGAGACAGAGTCTTACTCTGTCACTCAGGCTGGAGTGCAGTGGCGCGATCTCAGCTCACTACAACCTCCGCCTCCCAGGTTCAAGCAATTCTTCTGCCTCAGCCTCCCGAGTAGCTGGGACTACAGGCACACGCCATCATGCCCAGCTAATTTTTGTATTTTTAGTAGAGGCGGGGTTTCGCCATCTTGGCCAGGCCAGTCTCAAACTCCTGACCTCATGATCCGCCCACCTCGAGCTCCCAAAGTGCTGGGATTACAGGTGTGAGATACCACACAGCCAGGCGAGAAAAGGTTTCTTTTTGTAGTAGAGCCCTAAACTACTTGGAAAGAGGCAAAAATTCTCATCACTAATCTAAACTCCATGAAGGCAGGGACTGGATTGTTCCATTATTTGCTTTGTCCACAGCAGACACTCAACAAATATTCATTGATTCGATCAATCAGTATATTTACAAAAACAGACTCAAGCACAGTTTATTCAAGGGGAAACTTTAGAAGGTGCTTAAGCAAGACCATGTAAATGCTTGGGTGAGCACCGTTAATGAATGATGTGATCCATTGGGTGACAAAAGGAAGCAGTTGGGCTGTGGTCAGGCACAGTTCAAAAGCACTTTTAGATATTTTCCTTTATTTAATCCTCACATCCAGCCTCTGCATTAAATTGCAGAAAAGTCAGGCAGCTAATAGAGGAGTTGTGATTCAAATGTAGATAGGGTGACTTGAGAATGGCCACTACTCCGTCCCACTTAGGGACTACGTATGTGCAAATGTTCAGGTAAATGCAAGTAAGGGAATGTCATGGTGGAATGGAGTTCTCCTGAGAAAAGAGAAATGTCACAGTATGTTATGAGCAATTAGGAATTTGAAAAAAGATGCCTAAATGTCACTGTCCTATAAAAGACTGAGCCATGGAAACATACACAGCCGCCAGACACGATGTGTGACAATCACTTCATTATTTGCTTTCCATCTTGAAGCTTTCTGTAAGTAATCACTAAGCAATGATTTTTCCGTGAGACAGGAATGCCATCAACCCAATGAACAAGCACATCTTGAAGTTGCTTTTCCAATGGTGGTAGTGTTACTGATTTGCTGTAAGCCTGTCCTGTGCTCTGTCACAGGGCCTTTCTCATGATCAGCAACACACATTTGCAGAGAGCTTTGATCCATACTCCTCTACCCCCGATCCTGAAAAGCATCAAGCTGAGAAGCAAGGAAGCTAGGGGGTCATGAATTTATTGCTAATTGTATAATTCTGGTCACCAAGAGGAAACTTTCTGAATCCAATAGGATTAGGGCAGAGTTTCTCAACATCAGCACTGTTACTATTGTGGGGATTGTCCTGTTCATTACAGGATGTTCAGAGCACCCACTAGATGCCAGTTGCAGCCTCCCCCATGTATAACAGTCAACAGTGTCTCCCTCCAAATATTGCCAAATGGCCCTGGGGTCGAGCAGTGGGGAGGTGGCAAAATTGCCCCTGGTTGAGAACCACTTGTTTAGAGATACAAACACACCCATGTACATATGTGCACATATGGCCATAGTGCATGTAGTTACCTTGGCACAGGGCTTTTTTTTTTTCTTTGCTTTTTTGCTTTGGGGTTTTTCTCTTTCCTGTTGTAGGTGGGGTTTTTTTGTTGTTGTTGGTTTTTGTTTTTGAGATGGAGCCTCACTCCGTCACCCAGGCTGGAGTGCAGTGGTGTGGTCTCAGCTCACTGCAACCTCTGCCTTCCGGGTTCTAGATTCTCAGCCTCCTGAGTAGCTGGGATTACAGGCTCCTGCCTCCATGCCTGGCTAATGTTTGTATTTTTAGTAGAGACAGGGTTTCATCATGTTGGTCAGGCTGGTCTCGAACTCCTGACCTCAAGTTATCCACCAGCCTCGGCCTTGCAAAGTGCTGGGATTACAGGTGTGAGCCACTGTACCCAGCCGAAGATGGGGGTTTTTGCTGTTTACTTTTGTTGTTTTTGTTTGTTCTTAATCTGAAGCAGAATCTTTGCTTTAATCTTGACTCCTCTTTTTTAGATCTGTCCATTTTATAAAACCTTTCCAAAGAGTTGATTACAATTGCTAACACTATATTTGACATTTTTTGTGTGTATCTTTTTTTTTTTTTTTTTGAGACAGGATCTCACTCCGTCACAGGCTAGAGTGCAGTGGCATGATCATAGCTCACTGTAATCTCTAACTCCTGGGCTCAAGGAATCCTCCCATTTCAGCCTCCCAAGTAACTTCAAGTGTGCCTCCATGCCTGGCTAATTTATTTTTGTCGTTTTTTCGGTTTGTTTCTTTGTTTGTTTTGTTTTGAGACAGAGTCTCATTTTGTTGCTCAGGGTGGAGTGTAGTGGTGCGATCTTGGATCAGTGCAACCTCTGCCACCTCCTGGCAATTCTCCCGCCTCAGCCTCTTGAGTAGGTGGGATTACAGGTGCGTGCCACCATGCCTGGCTAATTTTTGTATCTTTAGTAGGGACAGGGTTTCGCTATGTTGGCCGGGCTGATCTCAAACTCCTGACCTCAGGTGATTTGCCTGCTTTGGCCTCCCAAAGTGCTGGAATTATAGGAGTGAGCCACCGTGCCTGGCCCAGCTGCTAATTTTTAAAATTTGTATAGAGACAGGGGTCTTACTATGTTGCCCGAGCTGGTCTCAAACTCCTGGCCTCAAGTGATCCTTCCACCTTGGCCTCCCAAACTCTGGGATTACAGGTGTGAGCCACCATACCCAACCAGTACAACTGGTAACATTACTGAACCACTACTATATGTTTGATACCCTGCTAAGCATTTTACATGTATGTTTAAAGTTTAATCATCAAAATAGATAGAGGTTGTATTATTCTTATTTACAGATGAGAAAATGGAAGTACAGGAAGTTGAGTGACTAGACATGGATTTCAGTGGTTTTGAGTGAGAGAGTTGGGATTTGGACCCAGGCTACCTGATACCTGTGTCTGCTTTCTTATTTAAGATGCTATACTCTCTTCTTTTTTTAGATGAAACCTACATCATCACTGTGTGCCCCTTCAATTCTTGATCTCAGAATTTCGACAAATGGGGCAAAATTTGATCTATGAGTAAAAAAATCACACTCCTGTACCTTGAAATTATATGGTGTGTACAGTTAGCAGAAACAGTTTAATCATGGGACATGTACATGAGAGCTGGCACTGACTGTGGACATATATGTCTTCCTCTTTTTACCACCAGAGTGTCTCTATGTATTCCCCTGCCAGTGGAACTACCGTCCCGATCACTGCATGTACGGAAGCAACTGCAGAGAGGCTGAGCGTGAAGGTGTGTCTGTTCTGCATGGAAACCGAGGCGTCTACCATGACGATAAGCAACCGACATTCAAAGCACTCTATGAAGCAATACGGGATGTAAGTGTGCCCTTGCTGCTGTTAGCAGATGTGCTTAACAGCATGAAGCAATACTGGCACTTTAGTCACCTGTCCCTTTGAAGGCCAAATATTCCCAAAGCATAGAGTTATACCAGTTATTCCCAACCTCAGTCACGTTCTGTCACTATATCCACTTGCCACCTCGTACTATGTCATATCTACTTGACTTATTTCCGCGTACACCATTCATTATCTTTTACTTAACTAAATTTGGGAGGAAATTTCTGGTTTTTTGTTTTTGTTTTTGTTTTTTGAGATGGAGTCTTGCTCTGTTACTCAGGCTGGAATGCAGTGGTGGGATCTCGGTTCACTGCAACCTCAGCCTCCCAAGTAGCTGTTGCCTGGCAAATTTTTGTATTTTTAGTAGAGACGGGGTTTCACCAGGTTGGCTGGGCTGGTCTTGAACTCCTGACCTCAAGTGATCCATCCACCTCAGCCTCCCAAAGTGTTGGGATTACAGGTGTGAGCCACCTACTTTAGGAGGAAATTTCATGTCACAAAGACAACTTCTGTGCCTTTTGCCACAGTGGAAGGTAACACATAGGATCAAGATTAGACAATAAAAAGAAAATGGTATTATTCAGTTCTAGCTAAATATGTTGCCTGGTTGCCAGCTCCAATCTGTCACTCAATCAGGGGTCAAGGTGTTCAGTTAGGACAAGGAGCCAAACTAAAAGTAACAGTCAAGCCTTTATTTGCTTAACTGCAGAAGTACATGCAAGCAGCAGAAAGAGGCCCTGACTCCCCAGTCTTCCATTTTTCCCCACCAAAGGGTACAAGATAAGAGTCAAATGCATACAGCACAGATGGCAGGAACCTTCTGACTGCCAAGGGGAACTGAAGAAAAGGTTCTTGGCCGGGCACAGTGACTCACGCCTCTAATCTCAGCATTTTGGGAGGCTGAGGCAGGTGGATCACAAGGTCAGTAGTTCGAGACCAGCCTGGCCAATCTGGTGAAACCCTGTCTTTACTAAAAATACAAAGATTATGCTCAGCACAGTGGCTCATGCCTGTAATCCCAGCACTTTGGGAGGCCAAGGCGGGTGGATCACGAAGTCAGGAGATCGAGACTTTCCTAACATGGTGAAACCCTGTCTCTACTAAAAAATGCAAAAAAAAATTAGTCAGGCATGGTGGCGGGCGCCTATAGTCCCAGCTACTCGGGAGGCTGAGGCAGGAGAATGGCGTGAACCCAGGAGGTGGAGCTTGCAGGGAGCCGAGATGGCACCACTGCACTCCAGCCTGGGCAACAGAGCAAGACTCCATCTCAAAAAAAAAAAAAGAAGGTTCTTGCCTCTTTATGGACTCATGGGCTAGGGATGGGAAAAGAGAGGAGAAAATAGGGTAGGCATGCAGGTATGTGTATGAACATGGCTAGCTGGAGCCCTTTATGCAACTTTCTCAAGAAAACTGCAACACTGTAAGACCCCATCTGTACAAAAAATTTAAAAAATAAGGGAAGCCTCATGCCTGTAATCTCAGTGACTTGGGAGGCTGAGGCAGGAGGATCACTTGACCCCAGGAGTTCAAGGCTGCAGTGAGCTATGATTGCACCACTTCACTCCAGCTTGGGCAATAAAGCGAGACCCTGTCTCAAATATACATATATATATAAAATTTCATGACACAAGAAAACTATATGAAATTCAAATGTCAGCACTGGTAAATAAAGTCATATTGGGAACCAGTGACACCTATTCATTTATGTATTGTCATGTTTCTTTTGGTGGAGATGGGATCTTGCTTCGTTGCCCAGGCTGATTTCAAACTCCTGGCTCAAGTGATCTTCCCAGCCAGCCTCACAAAGTGCTAGGACTACAGGTCTGAGCCATCACGCCTGCCCATTTATGTATTATCTATGGCTATGTTGGCACTGTAACAGCAGGATGATTTGTTGTGACAAAGGACATATGGTCTACAGAGTCTAAAATATTTACCATCTACTCCTTTACAGAAAAAGTTTGCCAACCCCTGACATAAAACACGTAGAATGTATTAGGCTTTGTTGTTAAAGATCAAATTCTCTAAGTTTCATGAACAGGCTCTGGTAGAAGTGCGGTAAGCGGTAAATCCCATAACATAGTAACATTTTTTTGTGTATGAAAATGTGCATTTGCAAAAAAAATAAAACGTTTAAGGCCTGGCACAGTGGCTCATGCCTGTAATCCCAGCACTTTAAGAGGCTAAGAAGTGAGAGGATTGCTTGAGGTCAGGAGTTTGAGGTCAGCACAGCCAACATAGTGAGACCCCATCTCTATAAAAAATAAAATCGGCCAGGTGTGGTGGCTTATGCCTGTAATCCTAGCACATTGGGAGGCTGAGGCGGGCAGATCACTTGAGGTCAGGAATTCAAAACCAGCCTGGCCAACACGGTGAAACCCCATCTCTACTAAAAATACAAAAATTAGTCAGGTGTGGTGGCACACACGTATAATCCCAGCTATTTGGGAGGCTGAGACAGGAGAATTGCTTGAACCTGGGAGGTGGAGGTTGCAGTGAGTCGTGATTGCACTACTGCACTTCAGCCTGGGTGACAGAGCGACACTCCATCTCAAAAAAAACACAATTAATTAAATAGGCCAGGTGCAGTAGCTCACGCCTTTAATCCCAGCACTTTGGAGGCTGAAGTGAGGAGTTCAAGACCAGCCTGGGCAACATAGTAAGACCCTGTCTCTGAAAAAACAAATAAAAAAAAAAGAAATGAAATGAAAAAAAGAAAGTATGCATTTGCTAGGGAGAGTCCTGGAGAATTCCAACTCTGAAATTCCCGGAATTGGCCGAGTGCCATGACTCACGCCTGTAATCCCAGCACTTTGGGAAGTCGAGGTGGGTGGATCACCTGAAGTCGGGAATTTGAGACCAGCCTGACCAACATAGAGAAACCCCGTCTCTACTAAAAATACAAAATTAGCTGGGCGTGGTGGCGCATGCCTGTAATCCCAGTTACTCAGGTGACTGAGGCAGGAGAATCTCTTGAACCCAGGAAGCAGAGGTTGCCGTGAGCCGAGATCGTGCCTTGCACTCCAGCCTGGGCAACAAGCGTGAAACTCCGTCTTAAAAAAGAAAAAAGAAATTCCTAGTGTTGACTTCTGTACAAGGAAAGTGTTTAACATGCATCCAAGCTTTTTCTTCTGCATTTCCTGCTGTTTGGTTTTCAAAGGCCAGGTGATTTAATTATGCAGAAAATTTGTTCTGTGCTTAATGATATCCTCACATTTAAATATCCAAACACTGACTCCAGGGGCAAACTCATTCAGGAGTACAAGCAGAAGTTAAATAAGTACACAGCAGCCATGTGTCTATCAGAGCCACTCTAGGGTTTCTTTTGTGATCTGTCACCTCTGGTTTGGAGTTGAACAGTTGTGGTTCTTGAGTTACAACTCATCTTGTTTGTTTTCTGGGGGATCAGAAAGAGGGCTGAACAACTTTGTTTCAAAAATGATTCTGCTTAGTACACTCCATGATTTTCCTCAGTTGGGCTTTCTAAAAATACAGTTTTCATTCAGGCATTTCAATCAGAAAAATCACTAACCCTGACCCAAAATGTGAGTAAATATAAAGAGACTCCATCATAAAAGATGTATTTCCCCATCCTCTACAATGCTGTGAACCATTGTGTAGTGGGTCAGAGCTTGGCTTTGGGCCTGGACAGATAGGTTCAAATTCCAATTTTGTCACTTTCTGGTGATTCACCATTAACTGTGCCCTTACCTTACTGGGCCTTAGTTTTTTCATCTGTCAAGTGTAGATAATAAGATTATCTACCTCAAACAAGTGTTATGAGAATTCAACAAAATGATAGTCTTTACACTTTTAGTAAAGAGCCTGACTTACCGTTTGTGCAATAATTAGAAGTTGTTTTGGCCAGGTGCTGTGGCTCACACCTGTAATCCCAGCACTTTGGGAGGCTGAGGCAGGTGGATCACTTGAGGTCAGGAGTTCGAGACCAGCCTGGCCAAAATGACGAAACCCTGTCTCTACTAAAATACGAAAATTAGCCAGGCATGGTGGCGCATGCCTGTAATCCCAGCTACTTGGGAGGCTGAGGTAGGAGATTGACTTGAACCCGGGAGGCAGAGGTTGCAGCAAGCCAGGATCGTGCCACTGCACTCTAGCCTGGGTGAGAGAGTGAGACTCCATCTAAAAAAAAAAAAAGATATAAATAAGTTGTTTTGATGATAACAATTTCACACTTTCTCTAGCTTTTTCACATTTCTCTCTCTCTTCTTGCTTATAAACACTTTCTCTCTATATATTTTTTTCTTTTTCTCCTTTCATCTGTCTCTGAAAATATTCTCTCTCTCTCTCTATTTCTCTGTTTCAGGTGTTCATAGACACCCTAACCCGGGTGGTACGTGTTTGTGTGAAAGGGCAGTGCAGCCTCCCTGCAAGAAGGCATCTATCAGATAGACATTTTTGCAGTAATTCTCTTGACAATCATTTATGAAGCATCTATTTTATGCAGGAACAATTCTAGTTTCTAGGAATGTGGAAAATAATAAGATGGACAAAGCCCTAGTCTTTAAGAAGCATATATTCTGCTGGGGGAAGCCAGACAATACTCATTGAGAAAAAGAAAGAAAGAAAAATCCAGCCTGGGCAACATAGTGAGATGCGTCTCTACAAAAATTAAAAAAAAAATACAAATAAAAATTTGCCTGGTGGCACATGCCGGTAGTCCCAGCTACTGGGCAGGGAAGGGTTAGGGTTGGGGTAGGAAGATCCCTTGAGCTTAGAAGGCCAAGGCTACAGTGAGCTAGGATGGTACCACTGTACTCTAGCCTGAACAACAGAGCAAGACTTTGCCTGGCACCACTGTACTCCAGCCTGAACAACAGAGCAAGACTTTGCCTCTTTAGGAAAAAAAATAGTAATAACTGGGCATGGTGGCAAGTGCCTGTGGCCCCAGCTAATTGTGAGGCTGAGATGGAGGATCACTTGAGCCCAGGAGTTCGAGGCTGCAGTGAGCCATGATTGCCCCTCTGCACTCCAGCCTGGGTGACACAGCAAGACCCTAGCTAAAAAAAAAAAAAAAAAAATCCTCTGAGATAGTGAAAGAATTCAAAAGGTGTAAAAAAAAGTGGGCTGATGGGTCCAAAGTCCTGGACTGGAGAGGAGTGTTCTGCCAGCTGGGAGGAGGGGCACCAGGAAGGCTGCTTGCAAGTCCTAGACTTATCAGATGGAGGCAGTCCAGGGGAAATCTGGGGAAGATCCCATGAAACAGAAGCAATAACCAGGGGAAAGTCCCAGAGACGGGAATGAATTTGGTCTGCTGGAAAGACAGGAATGGCCAGATAAGAGGAGAGAGAAGGAACTGAGAAGAGAGAGTTTCCAGGTCACCTTGAACTTTTAGAACAAGGGAGGAGTTGGAATCGCATTCTAACGGCAGTGGAAAGCCCCTTCGGGAAAGTGATAGGCTCTGATTTGTGCTTTAAAAATATCACCTTGGTAATGTGGTGGAAGGGATGCAAGAGTGAAAACACAAAGGCTATTTGTGAGACTAATCACAGCCACCCGGGTGAGCAATGGGGCCAGCATGGGCTTGCGTGGTGGCAGGAAAATGGGAAGAAGTGGCCATTACTTGGGATATGTTGTTGAGATAGAGTTTACAGGACTTGCTGATGAACTGGGTAAGGGTTGTTGGGGAAAACAGAGGAATTGAGGGTGATTTCAAGGTTTTGACCTATCCTGTTCCCATTACTAGGGCTACAGTGGTGAAAAGGACAGATTCAGGACTGGCCTCAAGGGGTTTATCAATGGTTTAAATTTCGTGATTAAAGAAAAAGTATCTCAAACCTGGTCTGGGACAGAAGCTTCTTGCATTACATAATGCATAATCTCCTTCTGAGAAGAAATTGGCATCTCTGATAAACCTGTGTAAGCAGTATTTCTGATTAATTTAAAAGGATTAACATTTGTTCTAGAAAACCAGACACCCACCTCTACTGTTAGGCAAGAGTGTACTGACCTTTAACCATTCTTCTTTCATTTCTCGCTAGTCTTTCCATATAAAATGTCCTGACCAAGAGTGGATCTTTGACTTGATCTACTAGCAGCCTTTTCCCTTTCAACAAGATTGTAATAAAACTTTTGACACGTGCCTAACAAGTAGTCGGAAAGATTTATTTTGGGAAATACTGCTCATAGACATATTCCATGAAAAAAACAAAAGAATTTTAAAAAACGACAGTGATCTCAAAAGCCCCATATTAGGAGGGAAGTAAACAACCACTAATATTTGGTACCTGAATTATTAAAATATGATTTATTGCCAATAAATTTTACTAGTAATTGTTAAACCCTGAACTTCACGAGATTACCATAGACACACCCTAAAGTTTCTTCATTAAGATTCAAGGCAAAAAAGATGAAGAATTCATTGTTTTGTTGTAGTAGATTTCAAGTATCTTGAGCCCAAAACATGCTATAATATATGGACTTTCCTGTCCTTAGAGACATCCATCATTTTTAGATTGTAAGAGCCTTAAGGACCCAAATTTTGTAAACATTTTATTACTATTCTTTTTTAATGAGATGGAGTCTTGCCATGTTGCTCAGGCTGGTCTCAAACTCCTGGACTCAAGGGGTGCTCCCACCTCCTCTCAAAGTGCTGGGGTTACAGGTGTAAGCCACCATGCCTGGTCTTTTTCTTTTTAAAGAGGTAAAGAAACTGAGGTTCAGAGAGTTTAAATGATTGCCTGGGATTGCACAGCTGAGACAGGATGTTAACTTAGATCCTCAAAGGTCTTTTCACTTGTCCAAACCTGTGCCTGTGTGCTTATCGTAATTCCTGTGTCATTTCTTAGTATTGCATTTAAAATGGCATTTCTGTTACTAAAATAAACTTTTTTTTTTTTTTGGTCATTCTTTCAGTTTCCCTTTCAAGACAATCTCTTTCAATCCATGTATTACCCACTTCAGCTGAAGTTTTTGGAGACTGTGCACACTTTATGTGGACGGATCCCGCAAGTTTTTCTGAAGCAAATTGAGAAAACAATGAAAAGGGCTTATGAGAAACACGTCATCATCCATGTTGGCCCCAACCAGATGCACTGAATATTTTGTCTTGTTGCAAGTCAATTCGGTGTCTTGTGACCAAGGAAATATTAATCTCTAAGCTGCCTGGGTCTTTTTGTGTGAATATTTAATGGTGCTCCATGACTGTTGAGTTTTAAAAACCTCGTTAAATTTTGCCAAATCAGTTGCCCCCAAAAGAGAATATGCTTTTCTTTATTTTTTTCTAAAATGCTATTTATCTCTAAGAAAAAAAAAAAAAGACTATTATGCATTTAACATTGTTTAAGCAGGTTGAACTAGCTGTGAAAATAGCTTTTGTGAGCCTTCCAATTCCTAAATGTCTGAGACCATTTCAGTGGCACCTGAGGTGTTATATTGATCTAGCATTCCTGAGACTCTTTCTATGCAACTGACTCCCCCACACCCGTGTTATAAAAGTAATACACACTTGTGAAACAGACAGACACACTTGTAGAGCGTATGGATCAAGGGCTCAAAATCGAGATTACATTAGCCGTAATCCTACTGACCAGTGGAAAAGATTGTTTCCATTTTAATGCAGTTCCTTACAGCCTTTTTTCCTCCACTTTTGCATTTTCCACTGTAAGACACATCTAAAACAGGTAATCTCAGTAAAAACTGGCCTTTTTGCTGAGATTTTTATGTGGGAGACTAAAATATTAGACGAGATGATTATGTGTACAGAATTTTATTTAAAATACATCTGAGAGAAGGATTCAGATTTCACCTACTTGGGCAGTGTTAAAGGATGAAGGATATATCTGGGGGTATTTCTTTTTCTTTTTTTCTTTTTTTTTTTTTGAGACAGAATCTCACTCTGTTGCCCAGGCTGGAGTGCAGTGGCACAATCTCAGCTCACTGCAACCTCCACCTCCCGGGTTCAAGCGATTCTCATGCCTCAGTCTCCCCAGTAGCTGGGATTACAGGCATGCGCCACCACACCCGGCTAATTTTTGTATTTTTAGTAAAGACACGGTTTTACTATGTTGGCCAGGCTGGTCTCTATCTCCTGACCTCAAGTGATCCGCCTGCCTCAGCCTCCCAAAGTGCTGGGATTACACGTGTGAGCTACCGCACCCAGCCAATCTGGGAGTATTTCTAAAGAAAAAAATTGTTTCGATTTGTGGAGGACTAAATCATAACACATTTCTATGCAACAATAGCTTCTGAGAGGAAATTCAGGAATTTTTGTGTTTACCACAGACAAAAACATTTGATCTGTTAATCATCAGTACATGGTCATCTCTCTTTTTTAAACTCTTGAGCAATGGGTGGAAATCAGAGACCAACTTCAAATTTAATGTGTAAAAAACAAATAGTTCAGCTGCTTCTATTGGTAAGAAAATTCAACTTCCTACCAGCCTTAGAAAGATCTCTTTAAAGAATTTCTTTCCCCCTAGGGTTACCCAGCTGGTCCATACAGGTTTTATCACCTCACTGCAGGGAGGAAGTTGAATATTCTATTCCCCAAGGGGATCTGGCTTAATCCCTAGTTGCTCATATAGTTGGTATCAGCATAGCAATGTTTTGCATAATGCTTTATTTTTCTCAAATGACTATTGGGTAAATGATCTTGATATTTGCAACAGCCTAGTGGATTTAGTAGGGTCCTGAATCATCTCTATAAGGTAAACAAGGAAATTGTAATATAAGAAATAGACATATTGAATATAATTGCTATTCTGTAAGACATACAGTCTGTGTAAGATGCATCTTATTTACAAAGACATTTTTGAAAATTAAAATATTAAATACCTTTTGTTATATAGAGACAATGATCTGAAAGTATAAAATGAAAAATATTACCTTGTTGATGTAAATATGATATCCTTATATATATTAGAATCCAATAAGATATCATGGGCACAATATTAGCAAAAAAAAGTCAGTCTTACCCTGAAAAAAAATAGATATGAAAATCTCAGCACTACACAGAAATGTTTAGATGTCAATCAGTTTTGGTATGCAGCATTATTATAGTAGCAACAAATTTAAATCTAAAATTTTAGGGTAATACTTTCCTTCTGATCAGTTGCCCTGTGGTTATTTTTGTTAAGGAAACTACCATTATGATGGGAAACTCTTATTTTTGCTGTTATATTTTGTTTCCTTATTTCACCACTAGAGGTGACATCATTATTTTGTAAGTTTAGTACTAGGCCTTCCATTTGTGGTATGGACACGTATGATATGGAGCAATTTCTGAATTGTCCTTCACATAGGGGAAAATGCATCTTATATACCCATAAATTGGGTTTTAGTGAAAGAGCCAGAATGGAGCATAGTTTCCTAACTTCCATCCCAGTTTCCTTTCTACTTGTTCAAAATGGCCAGTGAAGTACACAAATGGCACTCAGATTTGTTGATGGCTCACAAACTGAAAGAGGTTCCTTCCCTCGTTTGGTAAGTCCCACAAAAACATCTGTTGTAAAGATTTGAAATACAATGCCTTTCTTTTTTATGAGAGCCAATTTACCCACAACTCTTAACTACCGGTACTGGTCTGACTGTGCAGAAAAGGGTTGCCCGCAAAGGTCAATGATATCACCCTAGAACATTCTAGAATGAATGAATTTTGAGAATGTGAAACCTTAGAACCTCGTGTGTTTGTCTGCCTCGGAATTCCTGTGCTGTATCCTGAAATTTTTAGGTGAATTTGGCTGATAACTTAGGGAAAATTTGCTTTTCTAATCCTTGCTGCCTGAAAGTGCTAATTATTTTCCATAGCTAGGATATTACCGTGCAGCAATATTGTCTCTGCCTTTGATAACTCCCAGCAAATTACTGCATTAACCACCTTTGAAATCCAGGAGCCACAAATTTTAATTCAGTGGCCTGCGAAAACATGTGCTGTCTGGTCTAAAGCTTGCCAAAGGTGGTGCTGCCCCATATGCCGCACTGAATACTGCGAAGGGCTGGGCGCCGTGGCTAACACCTGTAATCCCAGCATTTTGGAAGGCCGAGGTGGGTGGATCACGAGGTCAGGAAATCGAGACCATCCTGGCCAGTATCTACTAAAAATACAAAAAATTAGCCGAGTGTGATGGCGCCTGTGGTCCCAGCTACTTGGGAGACTGAGGCAGGAGAATGGCATGAACCCCAGAGGCAGAGATTGCAGGGAGCCGAGATTGCGCCACTGCACTCCAGCCTGGGCGACAGAACAAGACTCCGTCTCAAAAATAAATAAATAAATAAATAATAAAAAATAATACTGGGAAGAAGGTGGGCCAGTTCTCTCCTCTCCTCCAGCCCTGCCTTTTCTCTTTTCCCTCTCTTTTCTTCTTTACTCATTTCTTTTTAATTTCTGTTTAATGCATATAATTATGGAGTTTCATTAGAGAAGGAAAGAGCACTTTCTGACAGCAAAATGTGACAGTATTTCTATATGCATCGAGATTGAGCTTTTTCAACAGCAGTGTCACTAGAAATGCTGACAATATTTTTCTTGCTCAGTGTTTCTCCAATATAAATCTCAGAAATCATGACTTACATTGAAAATTCTAATATTTAAACAATTAACTGGCTAAAAAAGCAATATAAGTTTTTCTTCAACTTCCAAAATGGCAATTTAGCACTTTGGATACAAAGCTCCAAGCTTTACTATTTGTGGGATATGTCTAGTTCATATTCAGTGCTTCCATTGCAAATTACTGCGACTTTTACCAAATTTGGTATTGAAATGGGTATTTATATGGACTCAGACTTTTCAGAGTATTTCTTTTATTTGCAGTTATGGTGTGCATGGCAAAAACAAACCAAATCATACAAAACATTATTATTCACAGTGATTGAAAACAAAATAATGATCCAATAACAAAATAATCACTCCAGCCCAGCCTGAAAACAGGACATTTGTACAAATTTAGATTTATGTATAAATATTATCTGATATTTATACATATAAAAGATAAATTACATGTGTTTGATAAACCAACATGAACATGATTTCATCACTGAAATCAGAAATATGTTGAGTTCTATGACAGCACAAATCATATTTTCTTTCTCTTTCTTTCCCTTCCTTCCTTCCTTCCTTTCTTTTTCTTTCTTTCCTTCCTTCTTTCTTTCTTTTTTTCTCTCTCTCTCTTTCTTTTCTTTTTCTTTCCTAAGCAAGCTAACCCAAGACATATTCTCTATTTTTT